GATGTCCTCTATCGTATTCTGACTGGATCAATCACATTTTTGTTATTGCATTCAACACGGTTGGGTTGGTTTGTAAATCCAGTTCCAATCGCTTGTTAAACACGTTCTCTGCATTTGTATGACGGATACAAAGATCATTAAGATGATTTGTACTGCAACCCAAACGGCTCAGGGACTATTCACATCCAGAACGGACTAGTGATATTAGCACATATAGGTGGTTCAGACAGACAACGGACCAATGCACAAAGACGATGAGGAAAGACAAGCTTCAGTATCAGATAACGCAAATCGACAAATTTGTTCCCATTCTGAAAATCTTATTTGTCATACAGCCTCTTTTCACTAAACCAAAACCGGGGTTTCCCAATTGCAGGGTCCCAATGGCTCAACCAGTGACGATGGTGATATCTCTGACCATCTGACAGAACGGTATTTTCAAACATTTCAACCGTCTTGTACCCTCTCTATCGACGAGAAATTCACTTGCAACCCAACACAACTCTCAGAAGTGGACCTGAGTGGTGAATTGGTGTATCAGAACCTGCACCACATAAACAAGGACACTTTTCCTGGCCAAAGCATGGTTTGTTCTACTGTACTGTGGGAAGCGTCTAAAATCTCGGCAGAACCGCTTAGTGCGGCGTCATGTCATGCTGAGACGTGATACTGGAAAAATGGGTGACGGTCTAGCTGACGCAGAGAACATTCAAGCTAGTGTTATATAGAACCTTTAGAACGTATCTAAAGATGAGCCACGAAATTAGTTCGGGGATCAAATTCAAGCTCTATGTAGAGGGTCTCAAATCATCCATTAGAGTATAGGCATCTTTAAGGTGACCTTCTAGTGACTTAGAGAAGGTTGAACACTTATGGACATCCCCTTAAATACCTACTTCATCTCAGGCCCAATCAAACTTTGGGGTAACAACCTGAAACCGGAACAGAATGTGGGCACATTTTATACTCCTTAAGAGTAGTCAAATGCCGGAATTCGCTACCGGTTGAGACAGTTCGAATGACATCCACGGAGTCCTTCAAAGGAAAACCTGACATATTCTTAAGGACTAAGGACAGTATCTTGCCATAATCTATCAATGTTTTTCCTCTTTCATCACTAAATATACCTAGGTTCTTACCCGGCAGCATCGGTGATTCACTGTCAGCAGATATAGAAGCCCACTAAGTGAGAGCTCCTTCTATTTTGTTCAAAGTCAGTTGAACCATTTTGAACCTGGCTTGAAGGTTTTGAGGAAACTGTAGCTTATAATATTGTAGTGTGGCGTCGAGTCGCGGTTAAATATGATCACCACTACAAGAAGGTTGCGTACAAGATATCAGGAGGCGATTGGAGGTCGTAGCGAGATATATTTGTTGGCGATCTCGTGGTATCGAAAGAATATCGAGATCGTGCCAAAAGAGTACAAGCGGAATCACTGAGCAGACGTAAGCGCGTGCAAGGTCACGATCAATGGAAGGAAGAATATCTTTAATACAGTCAAACGAACAAGTATGGTAAAACAACCACTGGTACAATTGGTTATAATAATAATTGTTTCCATTAAGCCAATCGCGTTCGCTTGATAAAAGTAGATCTCTACAATATTTTCAGGCATCAACTTGTTGAGTGCAGATTTACTGAAGACAACCCCTGATTCTCTCTCGTTTTGATAAATACAGGTTTATGGTTTGATAATTTAAGCTGAAAGTTAATAAACCAAGATTTTGAATGCTTACATTGTACTGTAGGACATACGCGCTTCCAACAAATTTAACATTGTCAAGGTCATCCCTCAGCTGGTACGTCCTACAAGAGGGGGTATTATTATCCACTTTTCTAGGGCGATTTATCCTGGTTTTCACCGAGACGTTGTCTGTTTGATTAAAACTATCTACAAAATTAAAGTTTCAACAATATTTTAAGGTACAGAGGTTTTGTGTAATTTCGACTTATAGCATCCTTAACACTTCTGGACATCCTCTTAAACACCTACTTAAGCTTAGTTCGCATAATAACCTAAGGAGTAACACACAGGAACTGGAGACACAACATAGCGAAACGGAATGTAGACATAACTTATACTCCTTAAGAGCTGTCAAAAGCTGGAATTCGCTGCCGGCCGAGCTAGTCCAAGCGACTTCTCAGGAGTCCTTCAAGAAGCAACTTGACCTATTCTTAAGGACCAAGGACAGCATCACACTATGATTTACCAATTTCTTTTCCTCTTTTAATGTTAACATACCTAGGTTCCTGCCTGGAGGATCTGGTGATCCCCTTCTACTAGACACGGAAGCCTGTTAAGCGAAAGCTTCTATTCCGTCCACAACCATTTGAACCATTCGACACAGGATTGAGCTGTACTGTTCGGGTTGCGGTGTCGAAACCTGGGTAGTTTCTGGTTCTACTGAAAACCACCGGTAAATTACGCTGGCCTAAAAGGATATATTTGTACCATCGTGAGTTTGTGAGGGCGCTTTTGGAATATGGGGTTCAATCTGCTAGTCCTTGTTTCAAGTATGCATATTTCATGCTTCAGGAAGCAGATACACCAGGACGAGTTCAGTGGCGAGTGACCGAAACGGTGAAAGAACTCTTCGGCCTATTATATTAAGACAAACTGAAACGCTCCAACCTACTTACATTGTTTCACCCCAGGTTACGGGGGTGATTCTAATCAACTCGTATTAATTATTACTGGCTTACCGTTTACTGGACGTTTATCTTGCAATTAATATGTCTTGTCTTTTCCTTCCATTTAGGAATGATTATATGAGGAGAGACTTCAGGAAATTTCAAAAACTGAGATCAAATATCTACGCCTGGAACTCCGTTTCTCGCATCGAGCAGTGATTTGTCACAATCCTCTCACAGGACACATAATACCAACACCTTTTGATCCATTCAAAGTACGACCGGATCTTCACAGCACTACAAGCTACAAGAATTAATATAGGTCAGCTGACCTATTCTTACTACTGAAGACTAGTTATCACGTAAACCACTTCCACAAGACTCAGACTGCTAGTCCTTGGTAAGGCCTGTTCATCGGTATAACTTCTGTTTGTTACAAAGTCGGTACTCCGCAGTTTCTTACGTGTATACACACATTGCTGCCATGCAAATATAGTAATATCTACCTTTTTAGCCTGGAAATCGTCATTTAAGCTGTCGAAAGCGGAATTACTACATTACTTAAATTAATGTGTTGATAGGCAGTGCTAATACATCTAACTTTTGAAGGATTATTCCAGTCATCTACAACAAGATATCAGGAACAGACTTTCAAGAGCAAGCAATCAAATATTGGTTTCCGAAATTTCGTAAGATTGTCCTGTCATGAATTTAAACGTCAAGAGAACCTCCTTTGAAACGCATCTTCCAAAAGCCCCTTCTTGTTTTGCTCGGCTCAACCTGTACAGCTCGAAACATTTCCCCTCACTTAGGAAATTTCGGGAAAAATTCACACTATTCAGGGATGCGTAAAAAGGAGACAATTGGATGCATTGTCACCTATATTCACACTGACTTTAAGGATTTTCTCTAGGGTTTCCCCAAAGTTCGCCTTTGTTCTCCTTTTTTGTTTTCTTGAGGTGTTTAAAATTTTGGTTTTTATGATTTAAGACTATAAGACAGTTGGTACATATAGTTTGTTACTCTAGGTGGGATTATTCATAATCGATTATCAATACAAATGACCACTGTATCTCATTTGAAGCTATATATATATAGTCAATGTCCTTAGTTTTCTATTTGGAAAGTGTTAGATTTAACATACCATATTAAAAGATCCCACACAATCTCCTAATCTGTAAAAGCATCCATAGATTTTAACAACTTAGTTACTGCTTTCTAGCTTGTCCACTCTTCGGGAATAAGTAGTGCAAGATTCGTATGTGAAGATTTTGTCCTATCAACCCATTAACGAAATCCCATCAAACAGTTTTCTTGTTAATACACCTCATCTATTTATCAAATAGCTGTGTGTCTGGACTTTTTTATGTTCTTTGTGTTCACATTATCAAATAAAATTATCTCAAGATACCAAATAGAGTTGATTTATTTGTACTAAAACACCAAATTACTTTCATTAGTAACAACGATTTTAGGCAAACCTCTTGCTCACCATCTAAAAGGTCGTAGGTCTCTTAGTTTGAGCACACTGCATTGGGGATGTTTGGATAGTTTTATCATGTAAATTTACAAACTATAGTTTTTACGCCATCCTCTCCAGTTTTGCCTCACGTGACCTAGTATAGCGCCGTTGACGTGCAATTTAAAATACCTGACTTAAGAATCCGTGCATCGTAGTTAGAAATTAGTAATTATTACGTTTGTTTAGCACGTTTTTGATCGCTGTTATCATAGTTGGTTTCAATAATACTAGTACGTATTCCCATGTACTAATATCTCCAAAAATGATTTTGCAGAAGAGATTACTGTCTACGAGAAGTCATCTTATTTAAGTGAAAAACCTGGGCGATATTGTGATTTCAAAAGATCATAGATGTTCTGCCCATGCATTTAACACACAATTTCATTACGTGTCGTTTTTCGGTTTACTTCATGTTTATAGTCAACTGAAGAGATAATACTTGAAACGTTTCCCGCGAGTAAATTGTCTGTAAAATTATTTATATCGAAGCATATAATTGTTATGTTCTTCTACCTAGTCTATTGTTCTCACTCATTTAAAGTTATGTCGCCAATGTATCGTAATGGAAGTGACTGCAACTAATAATTCATTCATGACCAGTAAACACTTTACTTTTATGATGAAACTCGGGCCGTTATAGCTATAATTTCCCTAAAATAATATTTGTAATTTTATTTCCCGTAATATTTTGCGAATTCCAAATGCTATGGTTTGTTTTTATGAATTTTTTTAATCTGTTCGTTACTTTGTACCTTACATGTTAATCTCATGTATGTCTTTGCTCATGAGATTCATTTTCTATTTAATGATAGCTAAACATCACCTCAAAATAACGTACTTTAAAGAATGCCAGGCGGTTATATTCCCGGTCTTCCACCTATCTACCCTAATAGTTGGATCTCTTCAGGAATATCTAACATGTCTCGCCTAGAACCTGCTGACTCAAATTGCACCTATGGAATTCACTGGATATGGGTTTCAATGGGACTGTGTGTTATGGATATTCAAGGTGGCATAGCCTTATTTTGTGGAGTTCTATGTTTATTTCTTTGGATTGCAGTAGGTATACCTCAAATTGTTGAGAATTTTCGAACAGGAATTGCAGACAAAGCTCTTTCTCCTAGTTTTCTTTGCTTTTGGACTTTCGGTGATGTCTGTAACCTGATAGGTTGTTTTTTAACACATCAACTGATTATGCAGGTCCGTTCAGCTAGTTTTATGATATTTGAAATCCAATGTAGTCTACGTATACTATGCAAATGTAAACTGTATAAATCTTTTTCTCATAAATGTACTTTTTTGGTCGAGAATCTACTGATTTTATAAATTTAAGTACTGGTTTACAGTTTGTTAAGTATTCTGATTCTTAACGACTACTTTTGTTACATGCATACGAGGGTTTTCATTTTGTTAATAAATAGTAGATCGATGTTCAGTGAACCTTGCTTCATATCCCAGAGTCATACTCCTAAACTCTTCTCTGCCTTGTACATGAACTTTCATGTGTTTACAACATTGCGTCAATATTTACCACAACCTGATGGCTGATAAGTTTATATATTCATTGAACAGTCTGCGTAATATTGATAAGTTTTAGCACAAAATAAAGCAATTAACTAGTGCTACCTAGTTTTTAGAACTTTGATGTTTAATCGCTTATCCTCTATCTTTTGAATTACTGTTGTACCTTCAGTCAGTCAGTCAGTAACAACGTAGAACTTCGTACGTACGTACATCAGTTCGAGTTGCCACACCATATTAGCACAGAGATGCAGTGGTTGATTCAAATCCCGTAGTGCTAGATGTGGTAAAATTATAAGCTGTAATCAGAAAAATTAGGGTTTGAAGATGTTATTCAAGGAGTATAATCCAGTGAAATAAATTTGGAAATAATACCATTGAGGAAGTCTGGTAGTATCGTTGGCCCTCGGGTTACAATGTAGTTTACACGTCAGTTTATGGGCCTGGGGTTCTTTCTAACCACCAATGATATGTCATAATTATGCGACTGTAAACCTAAAGAAAGGTAGTCACCAATTTTATACTAAATATCATGGCAAAAAGTTGTTATTTCACTGTTCACTTGATTTCCGCATTAGTTTTAACTTTGTCTTAGGGTAGGAATTCCGTTACCTTTGGCCATTTTGCTTAGAATTCAGTGTAAAAGGTATCTGAATGGTTATTGAGTAGAAGTATCCATCCCAGGGGTAAACCGGGTTGTTTTGAGTAGCTTAATAAATGAGATTTTATGAATCTCTTTCTTGTGTGGTTCTGGTGCATCACTTTTTGGTGTTTTTGTCCTGTTCTAGAGATTTCGATGAGTAGAGTATATCCGATATCAATCTTTTGAACTAAAGCGTTCAAGCTATGGAGAAAAATAATTCGTCAATGTCACATCTTAAACTCTACAGATTTCTTAGTTCTTACGCGAAAAAAACAGTGTTTTATCGTCTAACAAATTGCGATTGTGTTTTTAATATTGTTTTAAAATTGTGCGAAATGTATCAGTAGGTAGTTGTGTAACTGTTTATAGGGTGATATTTAGTCCCGCTGTATCTGACTTGAACTTCATTAACTAATAAAAGATATTAGTGCTTAATGAATGACCAACATACCGTTCTCCTATCGGGCTCTGAAAAGTTTGTTCTATTTTCGACTTATATTCCTTTTTGCTTCAATTTTAATGTACAATTTAAGGATTGCAAATTGCTTACACTTTACAGATTGTTGTGACAGGGTACTGTATTGTTAGTGACTTCGTCCTTGTGTTCCAATTCATCTATTACAAACATCGTCATAAGGCTATCTTACGTCGTAAGTTCAGTGTGACTGGGTTATTGGAAGTTTTCTTTTTTCTGTGCATGATTCACATAAACTTTTGATTTGTCAATTTGCATGATGAAATGTACACAAACATATGTTTTCTTTATTCACATTATATTTGCATTTATTACTTGATTGTTTAGAAGGATTCTTACGGCGATAAATACCATGCTCATCCTTTATTGTATCTTAACAGTTCGTCAGCACCTATTCACATGTAGATAAGGGAGAATACAATATCACTTTGGGCGGTATAGTATGTGAAGATGGAGACTGGCGAGAGGGGATTTAACAGCAACCCAGTGTAGGCATGAAGATGAAAAATGGTATATTTGTTTGACACTGTACCTCCAGTTTGTATAGTCCGTTAAAAATAATAAATTCAATAAGATATGCTATTTATTCTCTGAATTTATCTGTAGCGACTAAGCTAGTAAAAACAATCATTAATTAATCACTGTTTCGAATCTCATTGTGATCTTAACTTATTTGAATATCAATCTTAACTGTCTAAGTAGTATCAAGATAGTAACTGTTAAACCATAGTAACACCTTTTCATGCTTAATTGATCAATATGTTTTGTTTGAACGTGTATAAGGTTGACAGGAATTATTTTATGGTTAAATATATATGTTAAATTTGCTTCCTGTTTATCGTAAAGATATATTTTTCATTAGGAAGAAATTCGTCTAATTATGTTTTATCTGATGTGTCATGCAGAAATAAGATTCGCTATTCTTTTTATTATACTCTAATGAAACTAAGCTTTTCAACTAATAATTATATTTGTGAAAAATATCAGTCATTACCACTGAGGAATGGCAGGATTATTTTGTACGAAATCATATATTGGTATGGTTACAGGTTCACAAAGGCTTACTGTTTTACAAAAATTCAACCTAGGTCTGTGATTATTTCAATATGCCAAAAATTGATTTTTAAGCCTTTAATTCGTCGAGAAAATAGTTTAATTAGATAGTTTAGTATTGGCTACAACTCAATGTTAACGTATTTATTTTAGTCCTAATGAGTGGTTGTCTCAGCTTGAGACAAGATTGTTGAATTTGGTGTCAGCTCAGATCGTTGTGATGTCGTGAGTTCTGTTTTATTTATATAACATGCTTCAGCGACTGACCTCAGCATGCACTACACTTAACTGTCGATTACCACCAACCGTCTACAATTAGTTACTGCTAACAGTTTTAAGTGTTCTTATTAACTATTCGAAAGGCTTTTATCTGAAAAATCTTGTCGTATTGAGATGATTTTATGCAATTATGCAAAATTTTTAGTACGCGATCAAAACTGGTGTTCATCAAAGTAAAATTAAAAGTTTAAACAATAGGTATATGGGTCATGTAACTTTTTAGTCTGTCTGAGTTTTCGATAAAGGCATGATTTTTATGAGTACTCACCAAGGTTAGACAATAACATAGGGTAAGATTAGTTTATGGACGACCTTTGGGCGACGCTAAAGTGACCTTAAGAATACCTACCTACTAATTAGAATCACATGTGGGTTATAATACGGTGTGGGAAATTAGAATTATGATTTACAATTGATGGTTAGGGTTATAAACTAGATTTAGGATTTTCGCCAAGAACTGACATAAGCTAAAATACCAAAAGGCTATTTAGCCAAATGGATGAATAAATTTCGTGCCAAAATTCAACACCTGTTGACTTATATCTGATTGGTTCATCCATAAATTATAATCTCTTCACTCTTATTAAACATGAATATACGTAAAGTTTCTCAAAGCTGTATCGAGAGCATAAACAGTTATAAAACATAGTAGTCGAACTAATGGTTAGTTTTACTGAGAATTGTATATTTAGGCATCTAAATTAACTTTTGTAAATGAATACTCTTTTTCTTATTTCCATGAACAGTCGCTTAAAATCAAACTAAATTAATATTAATTGTTGAATAAATCTAATTTTCCTGCATAGAAATGCGCGTTGAACAATCCACACTTTTGATACTAATTAACAAAGCAGAAGAAAATAACAGGGAAACAAAAAAAACAAAGATGACAGTTCTCACACTTTGATCGTTTCCAAGCCCATGAATTGTCTCTATGGCTATTCTCTTATCCATTCGCATTGCAATTTTTTCTCCATTGCCATATCAACTTCATGATGTTGCACAACATTTTATCTAGTTAGTTTTCAACAGTTACTGCATATATACACCAATCCTCCATAAAATTACTTTTTTGTTTCAGGAATGGCTACAGCTTTAAAAGATGGTGAAGTATCTTCGAACTCAAGCTCTTCTCCCATTATTTGTGACGAATCGGAACAACATAATTCACATCAAGGATATCAAAGACTTTCAGTTGGTTTAGTTGGTGCAGGATGTTTAACTTTGATGGGCATTTCTTTAACTTCTATCGAGAATCCGTTTAATACTTATGTTATTAAACAATCAGTATCCAGTGGTTTACACTACCAATCAAGACAGTTATTGGAGTGGAAACAATATGAATCAACAGATCATCCATTCATAAATTCAGATCCTTTAAATGTAAGTTTTTAACTTGAACATTATGGTTTTCCGGTCATATATAATAACATTGTCCAATCTTTTAGATAGCCTTTTCAAAACAGGAGATTAGCTTGTTGGGAGGAAATGGATTATCAACTTTAAGATGGTGAACAGCACATATATTTTGTTCTTAATGATCATTTAGCTTTCTCATGTTTTTAGTTTGCGTTTTTCATATTCTAAGAAAGGTATTTGTTGGCGATCATTTAGCTACGAAGTTCAACAAATAAATTACTTGTGCTTGACAAAAGATCTCACGTGACCTAGTCTTTTTTCTTACTTGTTCACCTCACCGATAATCTAAGCAGAATGGTACAAGGTGGGTAGAAGCAGCTCAAGTGGCTTCGTATCGATCCAAAATCACTTAGACTAGTGGGTACATTGCAACCTGATCGATAAAATTCGATCATCACGTTGGGCTGGGTAAACATGAATTTGCTTACTTTCCTGTGGCTAATCAATGCAGAATGATGCCAATGTTTATTTGTGTGTAATGCATTCGTAAGAAATGTGAGATAAAATAATGTTTCAGCACGGGTTTAGATTTGCACGTAAATGTACGATAAAAGCAGTTACTTTTGCTCCTATAGTCTGGTGACTATAACCTTTCGACAAGAATACAGAAATGCTAGTCAGGGTTTCTCAACTATAGTGATAGTTTTCATCACAGATAGTGAAATCAACTGGGAACTACTTAAAACCATAGAACATCGGACAGCTGTTTGGTCCCAGTTTGAAACTCCTCAACAGCATGTGTGTATAAAATCATTCAGAAGAAATCCCAAAGAACTTCAGTTCTTCTGACCAGTATACAGCTTTTAGACTACCTTGATCAAATGTGACTGTAACAAGATATCCAAATGTCTGTCGAAGGAGAAAAACCTCATAAAAGTGTGTCTTATTTTCTGCGACATATGTTCAAAAAATAAATACTATGTGCATTTAAATTGTCCACATTTATTTTGAGAACATAGTTTCCGTAAACATAAGAAGCTAAAAAGGTGACAGTTGTTAAAGTCCAGCTACAGATCTGTTCGGCAAACCAAGGTATAGTAATAGAATACAGTGATTGAGGCTAAGATTAGTTTGCCGCTCAATCATACTTCAGTAATTCGATAAGGATCTACTATTCCTTATAATCCCATCCCCGGTAAGATTTTGAGTGTTTCCTTTTGGAAATTTCTTCATCAAAACGAACCCCCCTCTACATTACTACTTAATTTATTTCGGTGGTTATCCGTTTCATATTAATCCGGTACCATCAAAATAAACTTTTAGAAAGGAAATAAAACCTTTGCTCATATAAGTGTTTGTTGTTAAATTTTGTACCTGTTACAAGCGTTATTATTTTGCGATACTGATCTCGTTCCTAAGTTTATTGTCGCAAAACTCTATTGATGATTTAGAATTTTGTACTTGAGAATCGTACAAAAAAGTATTATTTTTTTAGTACACTTACATAATGAATAATAATCTTAAAAGTTATATCATTCATCAAACCTGATTTCGGTTTTGAATTTTTTGTTTTATTCAAAATAGGGTGGTACAATTATATTGGGATATATTCTTGGGTGGATTTCCACATCCATGTACCTGTTCTCTCGATTGCCACAATTATTTCGCAATGTATGTTTAATTCGAGCTTTTTTAACAAATCTATGTAAAACTATGTTACGTGAATACAACCATTAGCTAATAATTAATGTATGTAGGCTGAAGGACCCAACTGTTATTCTGGAGGAATGACAATAAACGAAGTTGTACCTGGATAGTTTAAGCATTCGACTTTCAATCACCGGGTCAAACTCGACATATTTTGCTTTAGGGACTCAGGTAATACTTTTAGTTCTAATTTAAGAAACTATTCCACAGCCCAGTGCTCAAACACAGTGAACTATGTAACAGAACAAGTGACTTTGACTAGTATAAAGTTTGAATCAGTGACTTATAAACAATTTGGTGTCACGTTAATCAAGCCATATAACCTGAAAACTAACGAAGTACAATTCAGTTTGATTTTCTTATAATCCATCTCTTAAAGGGGACATTGAATATACTCCAATGCCATTGAATTAATTTCGATTATAATCCAATTACCCTCTCTCTCATCTTTAATCACCATAATTGAAAGTGATGAGAAATATACAAATATGTAAAGTTGTATTGTAAAGTGATCCGAAGTACTAGATACGTTGCACTCAGTGAAGATTAAAAATTTTGTGGGTAAACTCCGCTGTTGTATACAAACCTGTGCTTCTTAACTACCGTACATTATGCAAAATGGAATTCGATTTCTTCATTCTTCCTTTTGCTTATCTATACCTTCTGGTTTTCTGTCCCCTTCTTCCTAACCTCTTACTTAGTCTGAAGAGACTTTTTTTATATTACCTTTTCGAAGTATACCAACTTGGACAAGTGCACTTCTATTTATAGAGTTTTTAATGTATATTCCCTCCTTTCTCAGTAATCTCTCTTATAGATGTAAACGAATATAAACACTGAAACATTCTTTTGAATAATTTTAATTTTAGTATATTTCCTGTCTTATAACATCTTTCAGTATTAGTGAATATAAAGAACAATAGATTGACTGCATCTGCTACATTGTGTGTTTTTATATATGATTGAGTATTTAGTCTCAAACTGTTCGTTCGAAGTCATTTAACCAAACGTTTTAAATAGATTTATGTTAATCAGTTAATAACAATAATAATAAACAGATTGTAGAACATTTTGTTAATACAACTTTCTGAAAACTAATTTTTCTGTCCAAGTGGAAACGTAAATCAACTGAAGGACTGTCTATATTCATGTTTTCCATGGCTGTTACTGGGAATATTTCATATGGTATTCAAATTTTACTTACATCTACTGAAAAAAACTACTTAATCCGAGCTACACCGTGGCTTGTTGGAAGTTTCGGTGTAGTTTTGCTAGATATTTTTGTAAGTTCATATGTCGTAATTATTAACTATTATGCTTAATTCTTTAATACTTCATAACTATATTCTACGGCTTCAGACTTGATTGTGTTTGTTTTTATCCCGTGAAATTAAACTCCGAAAATTCTCTCAATTCTAGTAAGAAACCATGACCTGTAGAGCTCGACCATGTTAGAAGTGACGCAGTTACCAAAATTGATACTGGATGATTGTTTACATTAGCAAAATAATGTCTACTTTAAATGATTCTACTTGATTTATCATCGATAATACTCAGAAAGATTTAACAGAGACGACTGAGAAGCGTCTTTTAAAAAAAATTGAGAGAACTCCTGAAGAAAAATGTAATTGATAATCATACATACAATCAACTCAAACCAAAAGGATCACAATTACCATACTTATACGACCTACCCAAAACTCACAAACCTGACATCCCGTTAAGACCGTTATTATCCATGACTAATATACCCTTCCATAAACTCGCCCGCTGGTTGCCAAGGTGATTAGAACCAATCCGAAAGAAACTAGCATCCTATAGTTTAAAAGACAGTTTTGAATTTGCATAAAAGCTTGACAACCTAAATGCTTCTGATAAATTTATGGTCTCATTTGACGTCTCATCGCTCTTCACAAACATCCTCTTGGAAGAAACGGTATAGATCATATGTGAATATCCTGAATTTCTACCTCTACCGATCCATGAATTTAAACAGCTCCTGTTTTCGTGTACTAAAAACATACAATTTCAATTCAATAATGTCAATAATGTCTCGATCTGTTTAATAAAGCTCACAAGGATATAGAATTTACTATGGAACAGGAAGTTGAAGGCGAATCCCATTTCCTAGATATTAGGATCAGACGAACATCTGATGGCACATTACATAGACACATTCATCGCAAAAATACTCGGAGTGGAGTATATCTCAATTGTTATAGTTTCTGTCCAATGAGTTACAAAAAGGGTATTGTACGAACCCTTTTTGACCGCGCACGTAAAATTTGTTCAAACGAATGCCTGGATGACAAGATTGCTCTCATCACTAATTGTCTACGTGAAAATGCATATCCGGTAAAATTCATCTATAAATATGCAAAAACCAATCCTCGGGCAAAGTATGATAGAGTAGGAAAGAAAACTTGCTTCTTATATTTACGTTTCAAAGGAGACGAAATTGCTGGATTAATTAATCACAGATTAAATTCCGAGTTGAAAGTGGCCTACCCAGCAGCAAAACTGACGACAGTATGGGAAACGAACTGCTCACTCAAACAAACTAAAATCGACAAGTCCTCTTTTCTCAGTAGCTCCAACTGCATTTACCAATCCACATGTACGTGCCAAAGCACATACATTCGAAGAACTGAGAGAAGAGTGCATGTTCCAAAGAACTTGAGGCTGCGAGGGACTAAGGCTCTCAACAGTGCAATAGCCCGGCATTTACTTGATACGGGGCATACCATCGACATTCCGCACGCTTTTAAAATTATCAACAGACAAAGAAGTACAACTACTCTCCGTTTCGCTGAAACAATCGTGATAAAAACTCAAGCCGGATTTATATATTCAGTAAGAGACATTAATAAACTTATTATTACCCTGGTAGTCCAATTTTTTTTGTTATTTGGGTTATTTTATTCATTTATTTATTTTAAAATATTTGTTTTGTGTTATATCCCTCCCCCATTACCTAATTCTTAAACCAACCTTTCATTCACACATTTCCGCCAACTGATCCTTTTAAATTATGTTAACTTTTCAAATTCTATTTAATTATTACGTAACCTATCTTATCACTGTTTTAATTCCATGAATCCTTCATTACCTCCAAAATTATCACACAATTTATGAACTCCACTCAACTATTACACCACCCATCCTGAATTATTTCATTATTTCTAACACCAATTAACCTCTGACCTGTTCTTGCATATATATATATATATATATATATATAGTTATTTTTGTAAACCTTTGTCATTCCAGTTGTTTACATTCATTTATGTCAATTGTTTCACACTATTTCTTATCCCAATGTAAAATTCTATTATATATTTGGTTGTAAACAGCTGACGAGAAACCTCGAAATATTATGAATTCATACTATTCTGCATCAATATTTGTTCTTGCTCTATTTAAAAAGGAAATTCGTTAACTCAACATACCGAGATACTAGATACCGGGATGCTTAAATGAAATCTCCACGGTTGCTAGAATGTTTTCCTGTTTGACCATCATTGATGAAATGGTACGGAATTACACTAGAAATTACGGAATTGATATATGATAGATGAAGAATTTTTATAGCAGCTAAACTTGTAGAAATCTTTCTCAATTGAATATGGGTTGCAGATACTGAATACTGAAAAATATTTGAAAAGCACACATAATTACAATTCGGTTGTATGTTAAAGAGAGACCTGGTGCAATACTGCGTAATTGGTGTTGCGAATCTCGTACTGTTACAAAATTTACAGTATAAAATAAACCAAATAATTAGGATGACATGCTTTAATTCAATGTTAAACATCTTTTCTTAATATTATGGTGTACACTACTTATGCGGACAGACACAAATAATATATAGCAGGAATTGGAAGTAGAATGCTTACCACCAAAAAATGAAGTAAAGAGAAGGGGAAGGAAAACGAAGAGCGGTCAGAATAACAACAGGACCGGAAGAATGATGAAGTATGTAAAGGATAACTGAAGGATGATATACATATGATATAGTTGATGTATGATTTTCATATGTTACAAACACATCAAACAGTAAATTGGTTTTCTCTATCATATCTTCATTGATTACAATGTCAGTTGTTTTATTTTTAATCCAGCGTTATGTTTGCTCAACATACTATTCTTCTGTACTAATTCCTTGTGATATTTGTTCAATATGACATTCATAGTTAGTTTGTATTATTTCAGTGTGATATTTGCTTATTATATTAATGATCATTTGTGTAATTCCAATGTAAAATCTGTTTGTATTACCATTATTTCAACTATATATGGTATCCGTTGACTAATCATTGAATGCGAGTAAAATTCGTACATAAATGAATGTATTTGCTTTAATAAGTTGTCGTCATGTTTTGGGAGGTGAATAAGACCTGTATCTGCTATTAGTTTTATCTTCTTCTTTGCTTTCACAAATTTCAATTGTTTCTGTTTCAATTCTATCATGTACATTTACAACCTCGATTAAATTCATGTTATCTCATAGATTTTATGCATTTAAAATACTAATGAATTTGTATATGCGTATATTGATTCAGTTTTTCTTAATCAAAGAAATTAGTGATTATATAAGAATTTTACTTATTTATTTCAGATGTTATGTCAATTCTTTTTTTATCAATTACATCAACACGGAAATAATAATGACAGTAATAATCAGGATCAAAGGAATTTATTAGATACAAACCCCAATCAAACTGAAACAGTTTAAGATTATTCTTTTTCACCATATAATTGTAAAATGTTATTTTCAATGTTTGTTCATTTTTGCTACAGTTTCAAGTATTTTAATCCATAGTTTCGCATTCTTCCTGTAACTTGTTAAATATATATATATTGAGATCATCAATCTCCACAACCCTATACACTGATAAATACATATTTACTAAATAAGAGAAATTTAGCCACTTTGTTTGTTTGTTCGTCTGTTATTTCCTTATATTCACTTTTATTTGTTTGTACAGAATAGTTTGTATTTGATTATCCTACTGGTTTCGTTTTATTTGTTCTTCTCTTTACATTTGATTTCAACTTCGTATTATTTCGATAAATAACTTTGTTACTATTTTTTATTATCATGATTTTAATAATTTTAAAATGTTGACTTATCCATATATGTATTGAATATAAGATACGTGTAATTACTTTTCTTTCTGTTTATATATGTGTGCAAGCGCTTGGTGATGTTACTGATGAATATTTGTTATTTAATTATCATTTAACCGGATGATTTGTTTCTATAGTTATAGAGTGAGTTAGTATTGTAAATTTGTCATACTTGTCATGAAACCTGGAGACCGTAAATGTAATCCCGTTTAGTATCGTTTTGTGGGTTAACAAGAAGTTTTATACTAGAGTGAAACAACTGTACAGTAATCCATGTTTTCCAATCAGTCAGTCATTCATCTACAACGTAGAATCAGGCACATGTGTATCGGTCCAAGTTGCCTTACCTCATTAGCACAACAAGATGAACACCGGATTCATAGAAGTAGTGGTGGCAATATATAAAAGAAAGATTGCATATAAGGGCGTAGTACAGGAAAAAAGAATTAGTTCGTAGAAAGAAAGATATGCAGCAATTTTAACCTCTTAGTTTAAGGGAAGACAAAGAGTGTATACACCGACGCCATTGTGATCGATTCTGAGCCATGTCACCAAGAGTCTCCAACCATTGGTTACGATAGTCACGTGGACCCCAACCAAGTAGTCTGCATCTCCCAACACAGCTCAGATTAGAAGTTAATGACTTCAAGGACTGATGCCTTGTTTTGGTTTGGCCGCCCCTAACTTTCCTCCAACCATCCCAACATCAGTTAGTATTGCGCGTCGTGGTAATCGGTGTTCAGGTATACGCAACACGTAGCCCAACCATCTCAGTCGATGAAGATTCACAACCTCCAACTGATTTACCATCATTCCCTAATACCCTGCGTCCAACCTCACTATTACTTACCCGGTGATTACACATGTTTTCCAATGGTTTTCCGGATGATGGCACTTTAATTAAAACTTTATTATTTGAAGTATCTTTCCTTTTAAAAATAGTAATCTGAAGATTCCGTTATTTCTGCTAAAAGAAAATATAAATTATTTATGATAGGTTGTTTATGTTAAGGTGTATGTGTGTTCGTTCCACATCACCTTTCCTTAAAATATCATATCTTTATGGCAAACTTATTAGCTTGTTTTTTAATCTATTTGACGTTACCACAGTCCATTTATTACTGGCATCATGTGTAGGGAGATCTACAAAACTCATTGGACAAATATGTTTAGTATCAATCACTTCCCATGCACTCTCTTATTGTTATTTTTATTATATTTGATGTAGTATCTAATTCACATGTTTAATAACCGAAATGTAAGTAATTAATGCAAAAATCCTGTTTAGTGAAATAAAAGGATTTATTGGAGCTGTTTATTTCTTAACTTGGTTGATAGAGCATTGATTTCTCTTCATGTAACGCTTCAGCATATAAATGAGTATTACAAGAAAGCCATGCATTATATATATGGTAGCTACCAGTCTATCCAATTACATATTTATCACCTGTCTTACAATAATACTCATTTAATAACAGCAAGCTGTGAAATTAGCAATCGTACTTCTGTTTCATTTCAGACAGTTTATTTATATAGTAAGATCAAATCATTTAACTGATTTCTCATAAGACTTTTATTCACGCATCGAATATTTTAGGTTACTATGTATAATAATCACAGTCAGCTGAGTGTTACAAAGTCTAATCTACGTTTTTAAAATTCTGATTTATCCTGGTCTATAAGTCTTGTTATACTACGGATTAACATTAAAGACTGTTTGGAGAAATATTACTTAATGTTTGTAAATCAGTATTGTAAATATATCTGAAAGACGTATTTTGGCTTTCTGAATACAAATTTGCATTGTTAGTAAAATAGGGATAACATGTGGTCGGTAAAGTAGATTACAAGATTTTACCACAAGTATTACACTTTCTTATTTCAGTGGCGTATTTACCATTCATTACTTGATCTTTTTCTGGCACAACCGATTAAATCAGTCCGGATTCTAGTTCCTCAATAATCAATAGAATTCATATTCAATATGTATTTATTGAAATGTGCATGTGATGCATAATGAGTATTTAATACAGATCACTTCATTTGTGTATATGATTTACTAAATCTGTCTTGTATATTTGATTAATAAAAAGAAGTATTCCTATATTTATTTAATTAACGAAATATTGAATAAATACTTGTCACACATCTCGGATTTGGCAATAATGCAATGTCGTACTTTGTTTGATCATATTAATCGGTTCGATCTGATGGACAGTGATAATGAGTAGTTGCAAATATTCGGCAGAAATTTTCGAATTTAGGTTCTTTATCTAATGGTACTCATATACAACTCCGAGAACCCTATCAATGTTTATGAAATTCTCACATGTATCACTTACCGTAGTCGTAATAATTTTTACAACTAAGTCATGTAAATGATGAATGATCTGTGGCATGAATTTTCTTAGTATACCAATCAATCATCTAACATTGACCAATATCGCACACATGTTTTCAATGTTGTCCGAAGTTTATCAGTCATTTAACACTTGTTAACTTCTTGCAACCTATAATGACATACGTATTCATAATGACTTTTCATCTGAGCGTAGCTTTCAATTGCAATCGACCTACATTTAAAAAGTATTTTGATATTTTTTATTTGTGTAATTGATCATTGATATAACTGATCTTGACACAATATATTTGGAACCTAAATTTGTGTGTTTTATTGTTCACTTGCATTTGTTTGTTCATTTTTAAAAATTCTCATCTGCATATGTAACTTTCAGCCTTTGATAGGTTTGAGTACATTTTTGAGGCATATTGTATCCTACAGGGGAGTGTGCAGTGCAACGTATATGAGATAATTTAAAAGTGAGAAGAACAAGAGAATAAAAGTCAGTGGACTACTCAGTAAGCACACAAAATGCACTTAAATTCAATAAGAATGTCAATCCATGACAATAAACAATGACACAAACGTGAAATTAAGACAATCTGATAATCTATCCTAGAATTTGATGGAATAAGGTTTTAAATGCATTACACATATACTTAATATATAAACTAGAATAATGAAAGTGAATATATCCTTCTTTTTTTTGCTTATACGACCAATTATTATTTAGGCAGTATTAGACGATCATAGTGCTTGTGAGGTATGGCGTAGTCGTGATCGTTTATATTCTTCATTAGTAGCTATATTTCCAGCTGCATTAATTGGTAAACCAGTTACGGTGACACTGTTAGATGAAACACGTATAACTGGACGTTTATGTTCATGTGATGGATTGATGAATTTACAATTGGATAGTGGTGTTATAATAAGAAAACCAGATTCTGACGGGCTAAACGAGGTTATTCTAGTTGAAGTTAGTTTATTTAATTTGATGTGTTTTATGTTTATTTCTGTCCTTCTTGTTTTGTTATAAAAAATAACTTGTTTGTTTGTTTTTAGAAAGAAAGTACTTTTTGTCAAAAACTAGAAATAAATCTCTATCTTACACGTTTGATTAAGTGATAGTAATATATAGGTAACAACTATTTAGTACGTCTAATGATCCCTACAGAGTATTTAAAAACAAGGGGTATTTGAGCGAATAATTATTTTCAATAACTTCGTCATCGTACTCTACAGCCATAAATCCGTAATTGTTGTATTACAGTAGCCAAAATAAGCCGTACATAAATAAGTGAATTAGATAACACTATCTTTTATTTATTCGTAAGTGTTTGAATATTCCCTCTGTTGATATCAAGGACGTATTATTGATCGGTCTCTTATTGGTACATGTGCATCTAGAGCAGGTTGCCTCGATATTCCCAGTAAGTTACTGATATTTTAGTAAAGGGCAGTTGGGGCTGGCAACAAGATCTATGATGTGCATTTTGTCCTGTTCAGGAGTCGTCGGCTGAATGTACCTGGACTCAGTATCTCAGGTTTTAGGAATTTAAAGTGAAAGGTTCTGGGTTGGAGTCCCAGTGTTAAACGTTAACACTAGGATGCTGGTGAATCCAGCTGATGATTCTCAAATAAGACTAAATGTCCATCCTGGATTCCATTGCTAGCCTTTGTTCATTTCTACTTAAACAATGTTGTGTGTTAAAATAGTGAACTTTGCACCAGTTGTGCCTTAAATACTTTCAAATCGTCATTCGTTAATTTGAAGGATCACTCAAGAAAGGAGTAGGAAAATTTATTGTAAGGTGTCGAATTAAAATCATAATAAAATAATAAATCATGTGGTTAAAATCCACAATAAGAAAAATGTTATGTTAACTGAATTGAGATAATTATAATAAAATCGTGTCAATTTATGTAAGTATAAATTGTGTGTTAATACTCAATTCTTTTACATAAAATTAGAGCTGATATAGTTTGCTGATGAAACTTTCACTGTCAATTATTACTATTGAGACAACCGCAGGGGATGTATTTAAATTTATTTATGGATTTCGTCATGTTAAATAGTATCAAAGTGGCATTAAATATGTATTCATTTTTTTATAGTGACATTGTTATACAACACTACGTAAACAACAATGTAGTTGTTGTTCATTACTTTGTAATCAGTTTTCAAGTATTAAGTCACATATTACAGACTAAATTCGCTTATCAGAGTTTTGGTGGTTAGGTATCACTAAACATTGTGCACCAGTTTGATCCAAGAATTCCAACCATATCACCATTACTGCAGTATTTAGTTACCAGAGAAATCTGAAACCCATTTTATTACCAGATGATGAAGTCATAGTCACACTTATATGGTATATGAATTATCCTTTCTGACTTAATTTATCGTATACTCATATCACTAAGAGTATTAAATAGAATATAAAATTGAACTTAATCACACTCTGTTGAAAAGTTTTTCACTACTGGTTTATTTCGAAGGATCGGACAAAAATCTCGTTTTATTATTTTATCCTGACGTCAGAACTTAATACTTTACTGTGATATAGTATATTTCGATACTAAACTGGCTGTAAATCATTTACTGAGGGATTTATGTACTAGACTTTGAGTCGCATTGTTTGCTTTATGACTAATGCCACCTATTCAACAGCTCAAACTGAAGTTGATAGAGAGGTTTTCGAACTTGTAACCTACTGGGTAAAAGCCGACTGTTCTAACCCATAAACTAGCGCTCTATACTACACTTAATGAATGGTTAATCACAACTGATTAGAAATAATAAATTTACCAAGTTATTTTCATTACAAACTAACATCAGTTGTAGAATCTTTGAAAGCTGAAGAGTATTGTATAGCTAAACTTACCAGTCTAAAACACGGGACTTGATTTTTATGTGAATTTGTGTGTTTACGCCCTATTGATGGGTTCCAGACTAGAATGAAGTAGTCGTCCAATACTCCTTGCTTTCCTAAAACTGACATCATTTCGTGCTAAAAAGATTTTCCACCAAGACGCACAAAAATCCCTATTAAACGATTCAATCTCATAGAAATGTTAACCAGTAAATAAAGTTGAGATCTTAATCTCATACCTATCGAAATCATGATTCTGGAAAGTGATATATCATAATTTCTGTATATTAACGAATTATTTCTACAGTTAATAGTGTTTCATGATGCAGTGTACATTGTTCTTTATTTTAAGTCAGTCAGCCAGTTTAATCTTATTGTTTATTAGTTTACAAACGAATTGAAGGATTTCTTGTGGTGTTTGAATGAACTAATGATACCTTTGTACTTGTTGAATGCTTGATTTCGAATTATAAACACAGTACATTCGTTTGTGGTTATCTAGTACTTCTTGATCCGATTACGTTATTTCTGGGATTCTTAGTTCATACTATAATTCAAATACTTCTAATTATCATATTGGCGTCGCGATGGAGCCTGCGATGGAACAGTTAGATATTCATTCAACTTCTGAAGCTTTTGAGGATTATTTGGAAAGGTTTGAAATCTGGAGCATGACCAAGAAAGATGTTAAAGGTGATAAAATTGTGGCACATTTCCTAACATTCATCGGAAGAGAAGCGTACAGCTTATTAAAAACTTTGGCATATCCAGAAAAACCTATCTCACTTCCTCATGCAACTCTTAAGGAGCTATTATTAAATCATGTAAAGTGCACTAGTTTTGAATGCCGTGAAAGGGCGAAATTTCATAAGATGGTTCGTCGAAATGAACAAAAGGTTAGGGAATTCGTCCTTGAATTGCAGAAATAAGCTTCCAAATGTAATTTCGGTGATCAACTTCATGTGCAACTGAAAGATCGATTAATTTCAGGAATTAACATACCGGGTTTGGAAAGAGAGCTGTTAAGAATGTCGAACTGTTCCTTTCAAGATGCTAGGACTGCGTGTATTAACTACGAGGCAGTGAATGAATTTGATATCCAGTCGATGAAGATTTATAATACTTTGCTTAGTCGTCATAATGAAATACAATCTCAGGATCAATCAAACTTGAGCTCGTTTAACAGTGATTCCTATTCTCGTGTAAATATGAAAGGTGTTTCAACAAGGAATCACAAAGCAAATCACAAAGGTGAGATCAAGTTTGGTAAATGTTTATCATGTGGAAAGTTTCATTCTTGTAATTCGTGTGCATTTCGTAATGCTAAATGTTTTAAATGTGGTAAGATAGGACACATTCAGTCAGTATGCAAAGCTACTGTCCATTTTGCTTCAAGTAGTACTAAATCTTGTAATTTAGATCCCACTAATTCAGCTGTTCCTAATGATCATTTATCTTTGTCTACCATTTCGAAAGGTAATGCTCATATTTAAAAGCGATCATATACATCACTTGGTTCATTTCATGACTTTATTGTGGACACATGCAGTATAGAGTCCATTATTCCATTCAAGAACTTGAAATCTTTAGATCCTAACGTTGTGGTACGACCCACTGAAGTATCAATATTGGGGATTACTGGACACAGACTGTCCATACAAGGATGTTGTGAATCGCTGATAGGAGATGATAATTCTTCATATATACCTTGTGAATTTTTAGTTAGCGAAACAGGACTGTCAATACTGGGTTTAAAGAATTTGGAAAGGCTTAAAGTGGAGTTGCCTTTCCTAGTTTCTAAAGAAAACTCTGATGCTTTACTTAAAGATTTGATAGCTACGTGTGCTAAGTGCAGTGAAGGTATGAAAATTCAGCCCATAAAACTTCAAGTACAGGGTGATCTAGTCTTTCTTAAAAGACGAATAATTCCTTATGGTCTTCGAGAAGCAGTACATAAGACTTTAAACGATTCGTGTGCGAAAGGCATAATTGAACCGATTCAGTCTTGAGCATGGGGTACTCCTATTGTTACGCCACTGAAGTCGGACGGCAAGACCCCTAGAATATGTGGTGACTATAGGTTAACATTGAACTGCCGTTTGTTGAAGCAAACGTGCACGACGGTAGAGGATGAAGATATTGTAAATCGACTTCATGGTCCTAAAGTGTTCTCGAAAGTTGACCTAAAAGATGCTTATCTTCAAATCCCTTTAGATCAATCTTCATCTATTTTGACGACAATTAACACTCCTTTTGGTCTGTTCAAATACAATTTCCTTCCATTTGGTCTAAGTTGTTCTCCAGCCATATTTCAGGAAGTTATGAATAAAGTAGTTAGTGATCTTGAAAGTGTTGAAGTTTATCAAGATCATGTCATTGTTCATGGTTCTGATAAGGTAGTTCATGACGAGAGACGTATTGCTTTATTACGTCGTTTAATTGAGAAGAATATTACAGTGAATCCAAATAAGTGTTCATTTTGTGTATCTAGTTTTGAATGTCTTGGATACCCAGTTGATGGTAATGGTTTTAGACCAGATATGAAACGACTAGCTCCACTGACAAATGCACCGTTTCCAAAAAATCTTACAGAACTACGTTCACTAGTGGGTACTCTTCAATACTATTCCCGTCTTATTCCTAATTTTTCTTGTCGTGCAAATTGTTTATTTAATATTATGACATCCAATTCATTCAAATGGGGTGAGGAACAGGAGTCGTGCTTACGAAGTCTACTTAAGTTTCTTCAAAGTGATGCTGTTATTCGAACTTACTCCCCTAGTGTACATTCTGTGCTTATTACTGATGCATCACCTCTGGGTATGGGCGCAGTTTTAGAGCAGGAAGGTAGACCAGTTATTTGTGTTTCATGCAAACTTACTGTTACTGAACAATGTTATTCACAGACTCAGCGAGAAGCATTAGCTGTGTTTTGGGCTGTTAAAAGACTTCATAAATATTTATTCGGTAAGTAGTTCACTATTGTTACTGATCATGAAGCTTTAAAGTTTATTTATCATCCTGAAAAATCTTTAGCACGTTCCTTAGCTGCTATGGTTCAACGATGGAGTATTGTTTTGAGTGCATATGACTATACGGTTCAGCACAAAAGTGCCAAACAAATTAAACACGTTGACTACATTTCTCGACAATCATTGCAAGATAGACCTGCTGATACTTCAGACTGTTTGTTAGTGCAGCCTTTACCAGTGAGACATCCAGATCTCATTAGAGAAACTCGTAGATACTTTGGATGTATACTCAGTGCTATACGGAAAGGCTGGAATGCTAATCTGAAACGTAGATTTCCTGTCTATTTTTCAAAGCGGGATGAGCTATCCACTACTCCTGATGGTATTTTGTGTTTAAATGATCGTGTTGTTATTCCTCCTTTATTGCGTAAATCTGTCCTTGAAGATCTTCATAGTGGTCATTTAGGTGTTGCGAAAATGAAGTCCTTGGCAAGGCTCACATGTTGGTGGCCAGAAATAAATGCAGACATATGTCGTACAGCAAACAATTGTGAAAAATGTCATCAGTTGAAAAATCATCCTTCG